ACATACTGGCAAGCATTCTAAAGAGGCAGAATTTAGCAGATCAGATGAGCAGACTGGCTGGATTGATACGTCAGCAGCTATATAATCTATTCACCCCCTTAATCACCGTACAAATGATCTCTCTTCAGGACTGCACTGATTCCTAATAGTCGAAAAGTGAGAGCTCATCAATCAAATGCTGCCGAAGAGAGAGCAAAAAGAGTCACAAATCAACTTAGCTAACCCCCCCTGGAGATAAGTCTTGGCTTAGCTGCCATTTTCAGAGAGGTGGACCATGAGTGGGCAGTAATTGTAGGCTTCTCTCGAAAAGTGATAAGCACATGGCTTCAATTCTTTGTGCTTTCAACAACCAACCGAACGGCTAGACGGAGGCAGACGAACAGTGCATAGCAACAGGTCCAAAACCAAGTCCTTATTATATATGCACAAAATGCATAAAAGTCCACTATTTGTATAATTATTGGCACCATTTGTGAAAATGAATATATAAGCATGAATAGTATATAGAGTGCCCTCCACGAATATTGGCACCCTTGGTAAATATGAGCAAAGAAGACTGTGAAAAATTATCTATAATGTTTAAACTTTTGATCTTTTGTTAAAAAAAAAAATTCACAAAAATACTCTGCTCTCATATATGTCAAACAATTGCAAACAAAGTTTATCCAAAAAAAATAGATCTTTGTTAAATATAGGTATGTATCTTTGTTAAATATAGGTGTGCAACAATTATTTGCACACTTTTAGTCAATACTTTGTGTTACCCCCCTTTGCCAAGATAACAGCTCTGAGTCTTCTCCTATAATGCCTGATGAGGTTGGAGAATACACGGCTAGGGATCTGAGACCATTCCTCCATACAGAATCTCTCCAGATCCTTCAAATTTCAAGGTCCACACTGATGGACTCTCCTCTTCGGTTCACCCCACAGGTTTTCTATGGAACTGGAATGGTCATGGCAGGACCTTGATTTTGTGGTCAGTAAACAATTTTTGTGTTGATTTTGATGTATGTTTTGGATCATTGTCCTACTGGAAGATCCAACCACGGTCCATTTTAAGCTTTCTTTCAGAGGCAGTCAGGTTTTCATTTAATATCTGTTGATATTTGATAGACTCCATGATGCCATGTATCCTAACAAAATGTCCAGATCCTCTGGCAGAAAAACAGCCCCAAAACATTAAAGAGCCACCACCATATTTAACCGTGGGCATGAGGTACTTTTCCATATGGCTACCTCTCTGTGTGTGACAAAACCACTTCTGGTGTTTATTGCCCAAAAGCTCTATTTTGGTTTCATCTGACTATAGAACCCGATCCCATTTGAAGTTCCAGTAGAGTCTGGCAAACTGAAGATGCTTGAGTTTGGATGAGAGTAGAAACTTTCATCTTAAAACCCTTCCAAACAACTTTATGGTGGTGATGTAGGATTGTAGTTTTGGAGAGTTAATATAAAATTTTAAACGTAAACATTTTTCCACTGTTTGAACCCCTGCAATTAATATTAAGAGACAGTCGCAATACTGAGTCTGCTGAAAGATCCGCATAATACCAAAACTAATTTGAATTTGAAGATGAGACAAGACCAGATTCTCATTCAGGACTGGAACTGATGTAGTCTTCTGCTGTTGTAGCCCATCCACCACAAACTTTGATGAATTGTGCACTTGGAGATGCTTTTCTGCTCACTACAGTTGTAAAGAGTGATTATATTATATGAAACCAATCTGGTTATTTTCCTCTGACCTCTTGTATCCACAAGGTATTTCCACCCACAGAACTGTCATTCACTCAATGTTTTTTCTTTTTCACACCATACTGTATAAACTCTAGAGACTGTTACATGTGTGAAACTTCTAGGAGATCAACAGTTTCTGAAGTACTCAAACCAGCCCATCTGGCACCAACAACCATGCCACGATCAAAGTCTTTTTTTTTTTTTCATTCTTATGTTGGGTATGAACATTACCTGAAGCTCTGGACCTGCATCTGCACGATTTTGTGCATTGAGCTGTGCCACATGATTGGCTGATTAAATAACAGCATGAACAGCATGTTCCTAATAAAGTGGACGGTGAGTGTATACTGGACATGTTGTAAAATTGTTGTACTTTTCCCTGTAGTATTATAAATGCATATTTGTGCGTATTGTGCATAATGTTATGCCTTTTAAGCAATCCCAAAAGCTCAGGGGCTGGAAATGGCTTGAAAACAAGAAGTGAGGTTCTCCTGGACAAATACCGCACAGTGAGAGTGTGGAGAGTAAGCAGCGTCAGAAAATACAAGGTGAGAATGTTTGGAATATTTGGAATACCTAAGAAAAAACTGTATAAAATGATTTTATGTGCTGTTTCCAAGGCACAACAGCATATCCTAGAGATACTATATAACTTAAATTAAAAATGTGCTTCAAAAATAGCTGTGTACAAAAAGCACTATACCTATGCTCTATTGCCAGATGTAGGTGGACACCCCACCATCACATCCATATGTGGGCCTTCTCCACACTGTTTGAAGCACACAAATGTCTAGAATGTCATCGCATGTTATAGGATTATGATTTCCCTTCACTGGAAGTAAAGGGCTCATACATGTGTCAGCATGACATTAACTCTGTGCACAAAGTGAGCTCCATGAAGTCATGGTGTGCCAAAGTTGTAGTGAAAGAAGTCGAGAGCCCTGACCTTCTCTGGGATGAACTGGAATGCCATGTATGCCCCAGACCCCCTCGCCTAACATCAGTGTCTAACCTCACTAATGCTCTTGTGGCTCAATGAACACAAATCCCCACAGCCATGCTCCAAAATCTAGTGGAAAGCCTTCCTAGAAGAATAGTAATTTTTTACAACATTTAATGGGGACTAAATCTGAAATGAGATGTTCAACAATCGAATATGTGTGTAGTCAAGTATCTACATACTTTTGGATATATATAGTGTATCTCCCATTATTTACAGATTACCTTGCAGTAAACAAGTTCTATAAATGACAGTGAAGACATGCATTGAGGCGTGCTTGCACATATCATATTTACAAATCACTGTAGCTCCTGTGATACATCCTGATGAAGTTTTGGATTAATGATATTTTTCTCTTCTACAGCCTGTGTTACTTGAACACTCAAAGACTATTTGTTTAATCTGAGACTCAAGAAGATTTCGAGGATGAGTCATTTTATTATGAGTTATAAAACAAGGGCACCAGAAGTGTTAAGCAGTGTGACTCTGTAATAATGTCAGCATGATAACATAAGCTCCCGATTTAATGGATATTAGTGGATCAAATTTTTAATTGGTATTCAAATATTATGAATTGTGAAATTAACTTAAATCTACATCTAAGCCTTGGAAATGTAAGGTTGGGTTGTTGTTTTTTTAGGAAAAAGAATGCATTTTATAAATATATATTCACATAAAATCCACATTCTACTGAATATAATATGTGAATATAATAAATTTCACATCAAACTTTGAAACTCAGGAGTCAGAACGTTATGGGATCTATGTCTTTACATCACAGAATTATCAGATAGAACCTTATTATTTCAAGGTCTCAAGCTGCAAGGTCCATCATGACAAAAGAGTGACATTCAGTCAATTTAAGCAGTTTATCTACTGACTAGAAAAGCATGAACAAAGAAAACAAAGACTATATTATAGGTTGTTTTAACTAGTCCTGTAATATATTAATCCTAGGTGAGCCTCTATACACAGTCTGTGTGTGTCCAACCTGGCCACCACTGTAAATCCCATCAGTGTGAAGGGGAGGATAAATGTCTATGTACATGAGAAATGGATTCTACTCCCTTAAGGAGAACAAGCTGATATGGCAATAAAAGTGATGTTTTAAGACATTGGTATGCATTAAAATTGGAGCAAAAGCATAATATGCTTTTGATCTATTTTTTAAATATGAAATGATGCAATATTGCTCTAACCTAGTTAAAGCTGTGTTTATTAAGATACACAATTATGTGTAGCTTATTACAGTGATTTTGGCAGTTGCAATAGCTGTGGTTTCACTTTGCATAATCAGGATGCGGATTAGTTTATTTTGAGTTGGTTTTAGGGCCACATTGGGCTAAGAAAAGACTAATTAATTTACATTTTCATTTATTTAATTGGCAGATGTTTTTATACAAAGCCACTTAAAAGTGAGGCAGAATGCAATCCAAGAATTGAACTACTTGATGTTGATATATGTGCTGGAAAAATGACTATGCACCAACTGGCAAGTTGGTTCACAGGGCATCTGGTTGAGACTGGAGGTGTGCATCAGGACTGGCCCCCTGTGGGAAGCAACACAAAAGTCGAGCAAGTGGAAGGTTTTTATTTTCATGTGGGTGCAAGTGAGAGGTCAGATACAGGACAAGCAAACACCACGGATACGAATATGTGTAGCACTGCATGGTGCAGCATTCCTTTTTTCATTCATTCAACTGCCTGGTCAGTGTTGTGTTGGTTCCAACTGCATTCATTAGAAAATATTGTGGGTAGTCGCAAACAAAAATAATAACAGTCTCTATTTTAGGCTAATTATGAACCGGTGGGATGTAGCTGAGGCTGAGGAACTGTAAAGTCCAGAATTCCCAGACCATGATGACAGAGTTGGCATTTTTACCGGTGTTGTTCTAGTTTTTCAGTGGCACTATTAAATTTAGCTGCACCCTACAAAAACAAAGAAACAAAAATGCTAACTTTGGGTTGAACTCCCATGCAAATACAGATAATGCATTACACTCCAACAAACTACAAATGATAATCATAATCCATCCACATATTTTCCATACCTCTTATCATAAACAGAGTCACAGCCTTTCTCAGGGAACTCAGACACCCTGGACAGGGCAACAACCAATCAAGGCACAACTGCACACACATTCACATAAAAAAAAAAAAGAAATTCAACTAAGAACACATATCTTTGAACTGGGGGAGGAAACCAGAGTACCCAGAGAAAACCTCTGAAGCACAGGGAGAACATACAAACTCTACACACAGATGGCAGAGACAAGATTCAAACCCCCAACCTCAGAGGTACAAGACAAGGGTGCTAACCATTAAACCACCATGCCCCCTAATAATCATGATGCTAGCTAATAATATATACTTGCAGCAAAAAACATGTAACAATATAAATAACCACAATATACACTGGTTTACCTTAAAATAGTCTTCACATAATTAAAAGAGGAAACTGCTCAACACTATACATACATACTAACATTCAGGAAGAGAATAGAAGATGGTTATGGATCAGTGTTCAGCTGCTGTCATTTGTCAAGTCGTCAGGAATATTTAGGTCTGTGGTGGAATTTGCAGAGCAAATAAAACTGCATTCTATAATTGCACAACCAGATGTTGGTGTATCACTCAGCACACTCAGCACTCAGTCAAAGACCAGTGTGATTACATTGATTCTGTCTCCATTGTTGCTAATGGCATGATGTGCTTGTTTGCGTGCATTGTCCAAATATAAACTGTTATACAGTCAAACCAAAAAGTCAGAATGGTGTGTTAAAGATCTTATGCTCTGGAGTAATGTTACCAGGATAGACAGTTACATTTATATCTATGCTTCTCTCTCTGAGTAAAATGCAAGAGATTTTGGGAAACGTTTTTATCACGTCTCAGATGCGAAACCCGCAGTCAGTCAAATTTTAATAGGCTTTTCATTGCCTCTATCTCCTACAGCTTTTAATATTGCTTATCTGCATGAGAAAAGATGTACCGGATCAAATAATCTCATCCCTTAAATGATCCAAAGCTCTACTCTGCTTTCTGACATTGTTCTGTTCAAAGCATTTGACCAAGACCCTGTACCTTTCCATGACCCTGTTACCTAGCAACAAAATGACATGCTACAAGACATTGGAAAGAGCTAGAAAAAAAGCAAAGAAATTGAGCTATATTACGTACGAAAAAGAGATGATGGACTAATAAATCTAACAGTCAGTCAGTGGAGAGTGGGTTAGTGGATGTCAAGCCTCAATGTATACACTTTAATGACTCTACAGCTTGGTGGAGTCTAACTGGGAGCGCTGAGGTCAGCGCGCATCTTTCTCTGCGTCATTACCCAGCATAATGACTGGTCAAGTGGCTGCATGATGGCGAGTCAGAGTTAAGTACAGGTTCAAGATCGATCCTTCTTAGAGAGAAGATTTTCATCTTCAGCTTTAGGAACAAATCCCTACAGACTTTAAAGATGTTCTATCCTAAAACACATAACCCCTTTAATAATGAGCTGATGAACTGGATTGAACTGTGACGGAAGCTGAGAAAGCTTGGGATGTGGATTACCAGTTATTGGAGCTGAGGAACACGTATCATGTTTGGATTAATTGTGGATCCATGGAGAAAAACAAATTAGTTATGTTTTTACTCATTCATTTCTTAATTAATCTTTAGTAACCACTTTATCATGGTCAGCATTACGGTGGATCAGGAGCCTATCCTGGGAACACTGAACCTGGGAAAGGATCATCTATCACAGGGCACCATGCACACACACACACATTCACACACACTCATTCACAAGTAGAGGCAATTTAGTGTATACAATCCAGTTATTGGCATGTTCTTGGCACGTAGGAGGAAACCAAAGAACCTGCAGGAAATGCACACAGACCGTAACCTGAGCTCAGGATCGAACTGGGTCCCTAGACATGTGAGCCTGCTGCACCACTATGAGATGTAATGAGTTATAATGAAATCAAAATACTCATATACTCAGACCTGATATAGGGGCAGTCAATGACCTTCAAGTAGTTTAACATTATAAACCCATGATCTTTCAATAACCAGTACAGGCCACTACTAAAAGATCACTTATACGCTTATATTATCTATTCGTGCAGATACGGAGCACTGATTAGTGCCTCAGCAAGCTAAACACTTAACTTGGCAACATCACAACACAGATGTCTGGCTTTTAGTGAATAGTGGAGTCCTTAGGAACCGTTCTCCTGCTGTTCTTTTTAAAGGCAGCCTTTTCTGTGTGTTTTGTAGTACAGCAAGCTGGAGAGCCCATCTGTTTATTCATGTTTTTTTTTTTTCTTCCTGAAGGCATACAACAATGCCACACTCATAACAGTTTTGGGTTTTCCTTCTTTAGTAAAAGCTGTTTTTCAGAGACAACCTGCTGATCTTAATGTTGTCAGTTACTGCTTTATCGCTTCAGGAATAGCGAGGTGTTTTTCTTTCATGGCTGTGTACAGACAGCACCTCCCTGCAGGATAACACAAAGAGATAAAAGGCAAGAAAGATTCAGTGTCGCTCTCCTGTATTTACCAGTCATCACTTAATACAGACATCACATGTACCCAAAGCATTATAAAGTTAATCTCCATCTTCATCATCCCTTATTGTCAACTAATCTTATTATGGGTGTTTCAGATGATCACGATTATGTTTAAAAAGATGTCATGGATTAGGATTTTTTTTTTTGGCTATTATGTACAAGAATTTTTTTTTTTAATCAGACTTTATCTAATATTAGACAGTAATGGAACAATTGATGTGTACATTTTGAGTCGCATGAAAGAAACCTGCCTCTTCTGCATATGAATGGAGTATACATATTTGATGCAGAGTAAGAAATAATCATTTTCTCATCCTTTAGTGTTGATTGAAGGCTGAATAAGATGCTTGCATCTTCAGTTCATTCCACCAAATGATTTCTGGTGTTTACCAGGCAGTTCTGTATGGGCAGTTGGTCTGAGTCAATAACGGAGAGACGACTTCATCCTGGAAATAGCTCCAGTGTCACCCACTTACCTCTTTAGACTAAAAAAAGAAAAACAAATTGTTGTTTGCAACTTCATACTGTATCTCTGGAGTTTTCTGCGCTGGAAACTAAAGTGTACTGTATGTTGTGTTGTGTTTATTTGTGTGCATTGGAGAAGTAGCTCAGTAGTAGTTGAAGAAGGACTTGAGCTAGGACAGAGCTGCTGCTGGTTTACACAGCAACACCTCTGAACCTTGACTCCGCAGCTATATGCTTGTATTGGATTTTTCTTCACTTGTAAGGCACTTTGGTTATGAATGCATGTTACCAATATTCCACAGGACATTGCTGTTCTGTTTCAGGTTTTGTCTCTTGTCTTTACTTTTAAAAATGCCTGTAAAGTACACTTTTAAAGCGCACCTATTATGGTTTTGAGTGCCTAATTTTGTTTTAAAGTTCTCATGGAATAGATTTACATGCACGCAAGGTCAAAAAACACTTTAATGTGCTCATAATTTAAACGCAGCATTACCTTTTATTCCCCAGTGACAAAAACGACTTGTAAAATGATCCACTATAAATGATTCTTTCTAAACTCCTCTTTTCAGAGAGCATTCTCTGCTCTGCTTGGATTGGTCTGTTGTGATTGGTCTACTGCTGTCAGCGACCAGCTGATGAAGACCAGAGGTGGGTTTTTTGTTACAAACCTACATATGTTTGTACAGGAAGTAAGTCTGGAATTACTAACAACTCATTTCAGCCAGCTCATCGCCCAGTTGGGTCTTCCTCAGTCATCTCTTGCTCGTCTCCAGATGGGTCAGAATGCAGCTGCAAGGCTGCTGACCAGGGAAAAGAAGTATGATCATGTCACCCCAATTTTAGCATCGCTCCATTGGCTCCCAGTCCGTTTTAGGATCTAGTTTAAGGTTCTGTTGTTTGTATTTAACTCTTAATGATCAAGCTCCTTTTTTATCTTAAAAATCTTCTTGCACCACTTTCATCTGGCAGATTTTTAAGATCTTCTGATAGGTTTCTTTTGTATGTCCATCGATCCTGTTTAAAAACTAAGGGGATAGAGCTTTTTCAGTTTCCGTCCCATGTTTATGGAATCAATTGCCACTGGACATCCACTTTGCACCTTCTGTTATCATTTTTAAAAAGAGGCTGAAAGCGTATCTCTTCTTCCAGGCATTTTAATCAAATTTGTACTATTACTACTTAATTTGGTTTTATTCTGTTTTCTATTTTACTTTTCTTTACTCTGTTCAGCACTTTGCTCAGCTTTGCTGTATTTAAATGTGCTTTATAAATACAATTTACTTACTTAAGATTCAAGCATCTTTATTGCTACACAAACACAGTGGTGTCATTTGGACATTGTACTCAATACCCACCCCATCCCAATCATCTGTTTGTTTTTGTCCTCTGCTTCTAAAATGCTTTGCAGTGCTTACAGTTGTTTTGCTTTGATGGTTATTTGTTAGGTTTAGATGTTAAGGGTGTTACGGCTTGTTTATTCGTTTGAAATCTGAAATGCATTTGAAATTTCTTGCCCATCTGTTCTACTGTGTCTAAACATGGTGCTTTTTGGACCTAAATTAAACGCTCGCTGCCATGCTAATCGGAAAGGGGAAGGCACTCATTACCCTCTCCTCTGAGCCAATCAAGCGCTCTGCTAATGGCGACAGTGCTTTTACCAGCCCATTTATATGCAAATTGGAGAAATGCCTCAAAGGACAATCCTGCCCGCACTCACCAAGCCTCCTGCCAGTGTTGCTCAATTACTAAAGCCAATCGAGTCCTAAATCGATAAACTTTGCACTTCCCTTGTTGTTAGCAGGACCAAGATGACTCCACTTCGCTCATTAAATAGGAAGTCTATCAGCAGGACTTCGAAATGGTGCCAGGTGACTCAGAGGCCACTGTAGTTAATGAAACAACAGGCGATGCACTTAATCAGCTTGTTATCAGTTAACCACAGACCATATCATTTTAATTCATTCCATTCCGAGCATAACAAAGATTTGTCTAATTAGAAAGCAAGAAATGAAAGGTGTTGTAGGGTTAGATGAGTTGACAGCCATGTTCAGTTGTGTCAGCAATCACCTCTTCCCCTGACTCTCGAGAACACACACAAACATAGTTTTTTTTGCAATACACACCGATAAAATCAAACCTGATAGAATTACTGAATGGATAGTTTATCAGTGATCATTCAATCTGTTCCCCACTTTAATTTTCGAACTTTAGTGGCTTTTTACCAAGAGTAACAAGACTTTTCTTTAACAGCGGGTGGAGTATGAGCTGTCATTATTAGAAGCACACTCATCCAGAAGGTACTTAGAGCTC